GGGCCGCCCGCGCTCCCTCGCCGTCTGCGCGCCCTCGCCGCCTCGGCCTCGGCGCGGGCTCGGAAATTTCCAGGCCACTTAGCGCAACCTGAGACACTTTCACTCTGGATTTTTGTTCTTATTTTTAACAGAGCCCCCTCGAGTGACGTCGCGGGCCGGTCTCCTGGACACGTGCCTCGGGCCAATGGCCGCGGCGCCGCGCGCCCACGTGACGCGCCGGAGGCCGCTTGGTGACAGGAGCCGCCCGCCGCCCCTCCCCCGCCGCCGCCGCCCCTCCCCCCCTTAAAGCGGCCGCGTCCTCGGGCTGGGGTGCGGGAGCCCAGAACCGGCGAGACCGCGACCGCGTGCCCCGCGCTCGCTCGCGCTTTCTCCGTCGCTTCTCCGCTCAGGGATCTGAGGAAACCCCGCGACAGCCCCAGCAGGTCACTCTGGAGTGCATACTGGACACGCGCTGGAAGGTCGCTATTTTTAACATTTCCATATTGTTTACCGTGGGGAAAAATCCCAGAATTCCTTGCACAAAATGCATAAATAATATTAAATGAGCTGCCGGATACAAAGGGACTTTTGTAGTACGCGTTCCTTGCTGGTGGAGAGGGAAATTGTCACTTACATTTGACTTTGGTAACCTGGCAGATTCCCGTCTTAAACGCAGAGCTGGCGGGCGCAGGACCCTCCTCCTGTAGACACTTACTGTAAGTGTGCATGTGTGTGCGTGTGCGTGTGCAGGGAGGCGCGTGCATACCGTAGGAGTCTACCCGGGGACACCGATCCTCAAGAAACATGCCTGTAGATCCGGAAGAGCGCGGGAATACGATTTGGGGCTCCGCAGGGGGAAAGAGAAATAAAGGAGCATAGGGGGTTATCACTGAGTCATCTTTTTTGGAAAGGAAAGGAGAGTGGATGTTTCAGGCAAAGCTTCAGAACCATCCGGAGAGAAAATACCTCAGATCAGCTGCCTTCCCCCAATTCCCAGACATTCATCTGAGCCCCACCAAGTCTCTACCCGACTGAGGGGTTACCAGGCCATTCACTTCATTTTCTTTGTCTTAAAATCCTTTGAACTAGTTTCACAGGAGATCAGGCCCCATCTGGAAGGGGAATTAGGAATCCAGTGGTGGGGCGAGGGCCCCAGCTTGTTGCTCCCCTCCCCTCTGTGCTCTACAGTTCTAAACTTCTTTCCAGCTTCTGTCAGAATGGCCGAGTTGAATTTGTTTCCTCTTCTCTTCCCCCCTTCTCAGGCTCCTTCCTCTTTGCTCTTCTTTCCTTGCCCCCAGCTGCAGGCACCCCAACAAACACCACTGGTACCCCAGGCGCAACTGTCCATCATTTAAAATGCATTTTTATGGAAATTTTCAAAATTCATGAAACATCCAAATGAGCAACTCTGAGGGCGCAGGAGCATTGGCACAATAAACGTATCCTTGGTGGAAAGAGGCGTGGGGAGCGGGAGAGGAGGAAGAGCCAGGGTGCCCTAGGTCTGGCTGGTCCAGGCTGCTGCGGGGTGCCCAGCAGCTAAGGCCCACTGCGGAGCTGGGTCTGGGCCTGGGGATGCCAGTGGGATGCTGCCAGGCCCCGGGGAGAGACGGGATAAGGTCTGGGCAAGCAGCCCTCCAGAGAATGATGCAGCCAGGCCACCTTGAGGCTTGGCGGCTTCTACCTAGCCTGGCTCAGCTCTCCTCCTGTCCCCACCCAGGTCCTGTCCTTTCTCCACCCCAGCTCTATCCACCCACTGCAGGCTCCAAGGTGCAGGCCAGGATGGGACAAGAAGCAACAGTCACCAGGCGCTGCTCCCAGGGAAATTCATCTGTAGAAGAGGGGTGTGGAAGGGGTGAAGGTGGCCCAGGCAGGTAGGTGGGCTGGGTGTGGGTAGGCTCTGGAGGCAGATGGGGAGGCTCATCCGTCCCCTGTGAGACTCAAGCGGGGCAAGGGGAAGCCACTTCTCATTTGGGGTGACTCACATCTACCCCCCTACTTCCCCCCCGTTGGAGAGGTCCTCATCTAATTATCTGGCTAGGCACACACCTGCCAGGGACCCTCCCGGGATCTCAAAAAGTTAAACCCCTCAGTGCGCCTGCCTCTAGGAAAATGGGGCTGGTGAGATTTGTGGGAACACCTTATTGACACATGTTTAGGGTTTGGGGGGAAATTTTCCTGCAACTCAGGAACCCTAATCATCACCAGCCAGGGAATGTCCAATTATTTTGGGTCCGCAGAAGGCAGAGTGGGTGGAGGGAGGGCCCAGGGCTGGTTTGCTTCCTGAAAAGCCATCCCAGGTTGATTTCTCCACCTGTCCCGTGAAAACCAATTAGGCCTTCTCCTGAGAAATATTTCCTAATTTCTTGGGAACCTTTGCCTCTGATTGCCTTAGCATTAAATGAGCCCAAGATGCTGGACTTCCGCCTGTGTTCTTTCCTTCAACACAGCCCCAAATTCATGGTTGCAACATAAACTCTGCAAAGCAGCAAGTAATCTCCAGGCAAACCTAGTCCGTTTGTGGGCAGCAGCCTGCAGACACCGGCTCTCCAGGCTGCGCGGTCAGGCTGGTCTGAGAAAGAAGGTGGATTCCTGAATTATAGGCCTGGAGGTGGGTTGAGGGGGGCTGGAGGAGGAGGAGGGAAAAGAGAAAGGAATGAGGTGAGAAATGACCAGAAGAGTATCAGGCCACCCAAAGCTGGCCCGAACAAAAATAATTCAGGAAAAGAGCGCCCCTTGAGAGTGGGCACGATCCCAAGGGCCAGCGAGGAGGGTGGGGACTCTGAACTGAAGCTGCAGAAAGTTGGGTCTCTCCGGGGTGAGAGAATTCTAGATCTTACAAAGACAGCAACCCCAACGAGCTGTTTCAGGAAGCTTCTAAAACATGCTTGAGGCCCAGCGCCGGCCACCTGCTGGATCCGGGACACGGCCTCGGCTGTGCTTCCCGGGGATGCGGGGGAGGGGGCATTTCCAAGTCTCTGCTCTGGGACCGGAGATGCCAGCCTTGCTCGCTCGCCCGCGGCCCTGCTCCCAGCGGGACGCGAGCTCCGCTTTCCCCGCGCGGACGGCTGCTCTGTGCGCGATCAGACGAACCAGCGCCGAACATTTTTTTCTCCCCAACGTAAAGTGAGGCCGCGGCCCGGGACCCCGATCCCCTCTACTCTCACCGGGTCCAGGATAGTGCCCGCAAACCACCCGCTTACGGAGAACCATCCTCCCCCCTCCCGGCTGTCTGCACAAAGAGGGGCCTCGGAGACATCAAGAGGAAAGACGGCTTCCGGACTCGCGGATTTGGAACGCGACGCGAGCATTTCGGACACAATCTCTCGCACGCTGCGGGGACAGAAGCGCTCCCGAAGACGCTGGGTACCTGGCTGCGGACCCAGCCTCTCGCTTTGCCTTAAAGCGAGGCCGGAAGATGCCTTTTCCCGCATCCCCGCTGTCCCCTCACTTCCCACGCTTCTCCAGGTGGGCGTGGGGACACTCGGAGAAAACGAACGCAATGAGAGCGGAGTTCGCCCGCGGGGGTCCTTGTCACTCGGTGGGTAGAGACGCCCAACAATTCCAGAGAGCGAAATCTCGATCCAAACAAAATCAGGCCGAGGACCCCCGCGCCCCTGGCCGGGAGACAGCCCCGCGCGGCTGGGCCCTGGGCGCCGGGCGGGGGAACTGGGGCCGAGCAGGGAGAAACGCCTCCGGCCCGGCGGAGAGCCATCCTCGGCTCCTGGTGCCGCCGCCGCAACCTCGGCCTGCAGACAAAGGACGAAATGAAGGGGCGCGGGGAGCAGGGGGTGGGTCGGGCGGGGGCAGCGGGCGCCGAGGTAGCGCTTCTGTGCTCACCTCTAAGCGGTGCACAGCCTTACGGACCCAGCCGGGGTCAGGGAAGCTGTGGCCTAGGATGAGGGACCTTGTTCAAGAATCCCAGGAAGGAAGGGGTTAAACGCAGCAGTGGCGGGCCTGGAGAGGGCCTGAAGCGTCATGGGGAGTGGGGTGCACTTGCCCTTGAGCTCCAGGCCCCTGCCCCAGGCCTGCGAGGGGTGCCCCACTCCCCAGAGGCGCCACGTTGTGCCACAGAGAGCCTGGTGGTGGGTTGGCGCCCGCGGAGGCTGGACTGAGGAGGGCAGCCGGCAGCCAGCGGCCCCTGCCCCCAGAGCTGGAGAAGAAGCAGCTCGTGCTCAGCAAAATCTTCCTGGGTGCTGGGGGCATGAAGTGGGCGAGGCCCCCACTGGACACGGAGCTCCTGTTCAGGCCTCAGTGAGAGGACCTACCTTTGACACTTAGCCCCAGTGCTAGCCTGGGAGAGCTATAGAGACCTTAGTAGGATGGGCAGATCTCCAGAGCTGGAGACCGAGAGACGCAGAAACTGTCCCTAACCTGGTTTCTCACGAAAACAGATGCTGCTAGAGGGGAATCAACTCGCTCCTCTGTCTTGGCCCCACTGCCTGTCCTCCCTTGGCTGTCTCTAGGGCCAGGCGACTCTGGACTTAAATGACCTGACTTGGGATTCCTTGGGGATCAGCTTGTGTCCCAGGGCCCCTTTCCTGCTCTCTCACTCTGCTTTGTGCTGTTCTTAATCCCAGTAAAATGTGGACCCCTCTGGAAGCTGGGCCCACTTCCACTCCAGGTCAAACACTGTGTCCTCACGGGACAGCCC